AAAAAGACAACAAGCAACAAACAAATCCCCTTTCCCTCTGTTGTTTCTACCCATCTGTCTTTCTTTTCCCGAGCACTAAATGACCAGTACTATTAAATTGTGTCGATATAATCAATCAAACAAACCAACAAACAAACAAACAAACAAACAAACAAAAACATAACCTTGTGTGCCGAGGTGATGGCAGTGATTTCGTTTACCTTGGACCAGCTGATTAATTCATTAATTGGAATTCCTTTGTTGTTGAATTATGTGATGCATGCACGCTGCGACAGCAAAGCCAGAGGATGCGGAGGTGGGCAGTAACTTTCCGCTGGTATTGAACTTGGAGATCACGCATTGACAAAGTTCATGGTAGAAGAATAATGATATCATCATCTTGAGGTCTTTCGCCGTCTTAGACTGAGATTAAAACTATCTTCTTCCGTGCACGAGGTCATGTGTACCCTGTGCTAGAGAGCGAATACCCCGGAAGTGATGAAGGTCATGGATCGTCTCAATGGAGCCTGCTCTTTAAAAAAAAAAATTAGATCTAGATCTAGGTATTGCTTTTTTAAAGCCACCATCGTCACAATTCCGATCCATGGTGGAAATCTTTACGCACTTCAATTTTCTCATGCGGTTGTCTTTTTGTTGTATCATTCTGTCCCACTCGGTTCGTCATTTTCCTCTACTTTTATCATGTGTTTGTCTGTCACTCTTTGGTGAACTGTTATTTCCGGGGTGCCTTGATAGTCGAAGAAGACTTTGTGCTGTTGAGGCTAGATAGGTGAGCAGAGTAAGCCTGATTCCCTGTAAGGACTTCTCTATTGACATCCACCCCTTGGCGCTCATATTATGACCTTATGCAGTTGCGAGCGCCGTAAAACCTTACTAAAACATCTCGGCTGGGTTTGACCAGGACTGGCAGGAGTGAAACAACCCCCCTCCTAAATTGTCTGAACGGTGTCGAAGGTGACGTTAAACCGTCTACAATATGAGAACTACTGTCATTCATGTAGATTCTAGACCTGGCCGTAATCCTTTACAGAAAACAATGCAGAATTTTTAGAGCAACTTTTTAAAAACTTGTTCATAAGGTCGACATTTATTAGAAAAACCTATTTTGTTTCATAGCAGTTGAGTAAACGGAAGTATCTTTATAGAATTTTATAACACCGGGTTGTAAACAACATACGATTCAATTACAAGTTTTCTTTCTCAGCTAGTAGGATTATAGGCCTACTTTTCGCTCAAGGACAAACCACTGGGGAAATTTGGATTTACCAATTACATGGGTGTGTGTGTGTGGGTGGCTGAGTGGGTGTGTGTGTGGAGGGAGGGGGGGGGTAGGGGGATGAAGCTTTATGAAATACGTCTATTTTGTTTGGAAGGAATTAGATCTAGAATGTAACGCATTTTTCTTCATTCACAAAGTGCGTTTCTGAGCAGGATGAATAACAGATCTCTATGATTATTATAATAACAATCATTTAACCTTCGACACATTGAGGGCATGATCAACAGCAGAATATTTAGTCAATCAGGAGATTACTATTGCCTTGTGAGTTGTAATCATTAGTATCACTTTGTAATTGTTAAATAATATTATCTTAGTATTGCCTTGGGGGCTGTATCGTCCTCGAGTGACCTTGATCAAGGTCAAGGTCAACATATCCTGATTTCTTGGATTTGTCCAGCAGCTATAATCAGCTGATCAGTTAGAGATTGCGCCTCCTTACATCAGCCGTTTGCCTTGCGTGATAAATGTGGGATCTCTGTGTCACATTTCGTGACCTTGGGAGGTACAGGAGCGAGTCATTCTCATTTGTGTTCTGTCGGAAACTAGTTACTGTGTGTGTGTGTGTGTGTGTGTGTGTGTATCTTTGTGTATGTGTGTGTGTGTGTGTGTGTGTGTG